CACGCCAATAATAACAACTCTTCCAGATCCTAGTGTAGTAAAGACAAGTAAAACGAAAGTTTGAACTTTAAAAAACGAAACGAAATAGGATATGTGCTTTAATCAGATTGATGCCCGTCTTCATTGGCCCAATCGGAGTGTAACAGTAGGACTTTAAACCCTATTTTATATCATTTCATTATGTAAATAGATGATCAATCTGGCGAGAGAGCTGGCCATGTCAGCTGACACAACGTACTAGACAGATCCATCATCCAATTAAGTTTTCAAGTTATGGTGACGAATTCCAATACCACGGTGACCGGTTTTAAATTTCGTGACGTCTCCAAACAATGATGATTCGCGAATCCTTCTGCATCCGAAAATGTCTGTCGATTTTGTTCATATTGGGGTCAGAAAATTTTTATTGAACAAACCAATGCCCGATGTCGTGGCATCGCCGAAAACTAGCTAGGAACGATTTGCTGCTTACATCAGTGTTATTAACGGTCGGAGTCTGGCTTAGCGACGATGATCTCGTGACAAACTAATTTTTATTTGAACTCAAATAGAACCCCCCGCTGTCAAAAATAGATTAGTTCGGTCTGGAGTCAATAGATGACAAACACATAAAAGGTTATTTTCTGATTTCGTGAAAACTTGAAAGGTAAAGGACAATTCTGGAGAATCGGCAAATAATTTGACGTAGAACAGAGGCGTCCTATCATACCACATAGGATTATACAGTGGGTGTTCTGTTTGAAAACCTGTCCGAGTCACCAACACTCTGAATCGATTAAAGCGCCAGAAATAACAATATGAGGTTAATGAAGGCGACTGTGAAATACGAGATAAACGGGTAAAATCTTCCCACCAATCTCAGTCAAACTCTCATTTAATATTTATCACTGATATAGATAATGTAATGTTTAGTTAGCAACAATGGCTGGCGTGCACAGATTTCCCAAAAAATTATTACATTGCATGGCAATTTTCTGACAATATCTAATGGTTCACGGCTACATCTACGTTAAAATCTACTTAAATTGATTATTTAACATTTAATTAAAGTAAATAATACAGAAATGTAAACGGAAGATAATATCTCCGCTTGGATTCAATAAGGCTTGTCAAACGATGTTACCCAACACTATGGATAGATGATGCCGAATGTTGCAATATCCTTGTAAATACGGATTTCAATTCTTGTTCAGCTGAAATTCCTTTTAGGGTCTCAAATTTCAGAATATTTCTGTTATCAACCAGAGATTGTTGTTATCAACCAGAGATTGTTGTTATCAACCAGAGAAAGTTCATCGGGATTTTCTGGCGTGGTTCACCGCTGGTTCCCCGAATGGTGCAAAACAAAGGGCCTAGCAAGGGACAACGTATAGTCGTTTGGATGGGACGAAAAACCGAGGTCCCGTGTACATATTTGCGTGCACGTAAAAGATCCCTTGGCAGTTGGAATTCGATATAAGAGTTAGCGCCACTGTCCGGGCAAAATTTCCCTCCTAGCACATACTGTATGGCGTATGCCCGTTTTCATTAGCAAAACAGTAGGACGTTAAATCCCATTTCATTTCATTTAATTTCCATTCGTTAAAGAGCAATGAAACACCTTTAAAGCTACATTATCTCGTTCGATTTAAGTCAGCTACTGGGCGCGTCTCTCTGAACAATAGTGACCCCGATTGGAATATACTGTGAATTGTATGTCAGAGGTTGGGAACCACGGTGGATCAGTGAGTAAGGTGCTGGCTCACTAACCAAGCAATCCCGGGTTCTATCCCGGTGTGTGTCAAGAAAGTCCCTCGGATTTTCCGGTCTAGCTCTCCTTTGTCAGTGGCACAAGACGACGTGTCTGGTATAGAACAGTGTCTAGGTCCCGTGTACGTGCCTAAAAACCCTTGGCAAAATAGCAGACCTCATAGCATATTACATAGTGCACGCCCATCTTTATAACCTCTGTCGTTGCAGAAAAGAAGGCCGCTAAATCCATTTTATTTCTCTCAGCCATATGTCATTGGATAGCCAATTTTATGAGTAATTTTAATGTGCGTGTAATATCAAGGCAGACTCTTCACGTGATAGTTATATAAAATTTATTAGAAATATATTGTGTAATAAAAGTTCCATAATGTCAACCCAAATGAAAAGCGCCATTAAAAGAATGATCAATTAAAGGGTGGTCAAGTGTGCAATGGTAGGATAAAAATGTTCTTGTGATTTGATAATAACTACCATTTGTTACCCTTCTTAACTTCTTCAGATTTATAGACTTGTTATCCACACCGGATGTACTATATACCGAAAGATTCCGAAACAACTCCGAAAAATACCGAAAAAAATCCGAAAAAATCCGAAAAATCGAAAAGAATTCGAAAAATACCGAAAAATTCCGAAAAATACCGAAACAATTCCGAAAAAACGAAAAGAATCCGAAAAATACGGAAAAATAACCGTTTTTTTTATATTATAATTACCGAAGAAATCTGAAAAACGTTTAATACCTAAAAATCCTCTAACGCGGCAACCTGTTGTCGACTACAGATGGAAACTGACCGCTTTAATTTTTACAAAAAGAACGACATAGGTTAAAGCGATAATTTCATATTTTCTAAGAAAGTCAAAACATAATTATTTCTATGTCTTTTGCTCAATAGGTTATCAACTGACTATTATACGACCATGGGCATTATTTCCCACCCTTTAGAATCATTAACACAGGAAGTAATAACACAATTACCTCCCTTGTTTTACTATTGCCTCCATGCATTAGCTACCTTCAAACGTTGGAATTTGAAGTTGAAAATGATATTTTTGCCAATTTCTCAGCTGGCAATAGTGAATTATAGGATTAATAGGATTATTCTTTAACAAGGTAGGGCGGTTTATGGATACCATCTATTTTAAGGCTTTATTTTAATAAATTTTAAAAATATAACTTAAAAATATGAAATTGCAGCTTTAAGGGGACTTGGATTTCTAGAAACCTTTCATACAGAATTAACCAGAATTAAAGCACCAACTTGCCAAGATAGTGGGTTAGATACAGAATAATAAATCTATATGTTTCGCATATGTATATAATACGTCTTTACATAATACGAATTTACTTAAAGGACAATTATGGTGTCAGTCATTATCACATATGTGATAGAACTAATTAAACACGTTCCAAATATAATTTTAACACAGAGATTATTGCTACGATAGCTGAGTAATACAGGTTTCTTGAATCGGAAGTGACGAACGCCAAAGGAAAACACGAGTCATCCCTCTATATAACTGACTGAAGTGACGAGTGATAACAGATACATGGGCGAATTTCTGCTCACTAATAATTCCTTCCAAGACCAAAGGTTGTTGTGTGAGACTGTGAGAGGATATCTGACAATTCATAAAAAGAATTGACTGCCACTAGATAAGAGAACACGAAAGAAAAACAGAAAAAGTCCGTGCATTACCATGTTCTTATAAGGTATAGAATGAATATAAACAAAGGAATGTATGGTTTATTTCTATTTTTCTCGTGTTCTCTTATCTAATGACATTCAAATACTTTATTAAATTGTCAGGTATCCTCTTACAGTTCCATATAACAACTTTTGGTCTTCGAAAGAATTATTAGTGAGCAGAAATTCGGCCGTGTATCTGTTTTCCCTCGTCACATCAGTCAATTATATAGAGGGATGACTCGTGTTTTCATTTGGCGTTCGTCACTTCCGATTTAGGAAACCTGTATTACTCAGCTATCGTAGCAATGATATCTGTGTTAAAATTATATTTAGAATGTGTTTAACCAGCTCTATCACATATGTGATAATGACTGGCACCAATATTGTCCTTTAAGCTTCGATGTGTATGGTTATGGACAGATACTAACGACAAGTACAAACTAATAATGGATTCCCATTCAATCAAGTCACGTGAAAAACAAGAAGGCATAAATTAGATTATTGCGGCATGGGTTAGGGTTTTATTTTGCGATTAAAATGTTTTGAGAGGGATTTGAAGCAGATTTTTGATAGATAAATTAGTTTGAATATGTTTTTAATCCAAATATATCATGAAATCACACAGTTTGAAAGCGGGAAGGCACCTTTAACTAAACAGTGACATTTATGTAGTCTATGCCATTAACACGGAACATTGAATAATTTGCACTGTAATTCTTCAGTTGTCCTTGATGAGCCCTTGGGTTATAAACGCGGGCGATCAATATATATACCATGGAAATAATTTCAGAATTAACAGTCCAATAACTGTCTGGTTCAATATTGCCATGGTAGAAATATAAGACTTCATAAATATTTGTTTCAGACATATTTCACATGATATATCATTACGGTGTTTAGTGACTAAGGTAAATCATTGTAGAAGAAGTTCCCCTATGGAATAGAGTAATATTACTTGTTGACGAGATGCGTCGTCTCGTGAGGTTATCATATTTTCATTTTGTTGGCTTTTATATTCTATTCATTGCACTCTGTCTTATTGGTTCTATCACTGTACCCCATTTGTCATATATATACGTCTAGACTATATAATAAATACTTGAGTGGTGCAATATGTTACTGTCATTGTTTTATGAATGATTTAAAGGCCCAAAAGGCAAGGGGCTATAAGTCAAAGGGACGCAATGGTTTTTGAGTTTTTGCGCCCCCTTGAGTTTTTGCACCCATGGCAAAACATCACGTGGTTTCAAGCCATGTTCCACACAGCTCCGATATTTACTTGATTAGGATCTGATTTGCTGCTCAATTTTCATTCATGATTAAATCATGAAATGGATAACTGAGACTATGTTTTTTTATCGTACCGACTTTAGCAATGGTGATCGAGGCTAGGCCGATAATTCAATCGCTAAATTCTTGGTTCAGAGTGGATCAATTTGACTGATATTTTCAGAAAATTCCCTTTACATTATCTTGTTTTGAACTATTATAGTGAGAACTGGCAACTCATTATCTAATCTCCCATAATGTATCTTTAACTCTTTTATTTGTATTTTTCAGCTGTTCTGGTTACACCAATGAGTCGAGTTAAACACACCATGAATACCATTTATGTAATTGTTGACTTGCTGATTAGTGGAACTCCAATCCGAGTGCTTCATATGTTCTTCACTGTAATGCTAGGATCTATTTACGCGCTCTTTAACGCCATCTACTTCCTTAACGACGGAACCGTAACTACTGGAGAGGGTGGAATGGCGGTCCGCCATTACGCTTACAACTTCATGGACTGGAATAAACCTGTAGAAGCGGTTATCACCTGTGTACTGTGTGTGTTTCAATCTCTAATAGCTCAAGTTGTTATCTTTATAATTTTTAAAATTAGGGTTGTTATCTTTGAAAAAATGTACTTCGGGGGATCGAGTTCTGAGGTGGAGTCAGAGCTACAAAACATAGTGACAGAATCTAACTCGTATAGTACAATGGATGAGAAGGAGTTTATAGATACTAATGCGCCTTCGACTCATGTCGGGGTTAAGTGATGACGTATTTATTTTTATAATGACTTTTAATTCAAATATATCGTTATTAGTATCAGTTGTTGACATATAAAATCAAGATGAGATTGAGTATATTGTGAATATATAATCAGTGAACAGTGATGAATTATCTGATATTTGAGTATTTGCTATGTCTGCCATGTTGACTGTTCGTCTCTAGAATCTCTGCCATCCCAGTAGACTGCGCATCGGCGGAAGTGGAATGGACCGAATGCAGATAAGGTGATTCAAGGAAGTTGTTTGGTTAATACCTCTAGATTCGACAAATATCAAATTTATTTTCCTCCTTTTGTGAAATCATTTGGTTTTTTTAACTATTGGTGTCTTTGACTGTGCTGTTCAAAGTTAAATAATGATTTATGAATAACGATCAAGAGCTATGATAAAACCCCTGGGTAATATTAAAAATATTATCTACTTTGTAATTATCAAAAATAAAATGTTGGACGCTATTTGTGATACCGCGTATCTTAAATCCTGTAAAACTAAAATATGTTGATTTCAAAAAATAGTTGAGGCGTAGAAATGTTTCTTTGTTAAGTTTAGCTTGATACAGCAAATCCATTTTGTTAAATTTCATTCTTGAATTTTGTTTGATACGGCGGCCATATTTGATAAAGAAGTATGGCTGCCGGTTTGTTTTTGAAATTTAAATTTAGCTTTAAAAAGTAAAAACGTTTCAAAAAGTCGTGTGGTTTTTATAGAATTGAAATTTAATATCCCGGAGATAAGTTGGTTCATTCGTTCTAAAAGGCGAATAAAATAGCGTTACTATCGATGATTATGCTTATCTTATCTTATCTTATGATTAGCTTATCTTCCGGATATTAACGTCAGACCTTTAGGTAATAAATATTATTCATGAAAAATGTTACATTTGTATTATTAATTTCATGTATTTCGTGAATTTTACCATGTACTTATTCTCAACATAATTCCCGGCATTGTTTAATTAACATTATTCCATGTATATTTAACTAGAATATTATCATTCACATGATCTTTTACATAATATTCTATATTATTTATGTGTCATATCTTTAATTATGTGTTTTTAATTATAGCTGTTGGTTATTCGTGTATCAATGAGTCTCTTTTTTTAATATTTATTATGTCTGTTTTCGCCTGTTTGTAGAAATATTGCGAAAACCAGATTTCTGTCAGAACCCCACACCCACTCCGATTTAAAACTAATTCAAAATTAAACGAAACAAAAAGCCAATATTGATTTCAATATAGTTTTGTAACAGCTTTAAGGTAGGTAGTTCATATTTTATTGATATATCAATCCGAAACTAAAACTTAAATTTTGTTTAGTGAAAATCTTCATTAATATAAATCATATCGACTATTCACGTGTTAATTATAAAAAAAAAATGTTTAGTGAAAATCTCCATTAATATAAATCATATTGACTATTCACGTGTTAATTATAAAAAAAAATAATCTATAATTATCTGGCAATACTGACACTGTAAACAATGTTAAAGTTGCTGTGTTAAATTTAAAACTGGTATACTCTTTAATATACACAGAGAAAAGGGTACGTCAATATCCCTATTTGAATCAATCTGGTTAAATGAAATGAAATGAAATGGAGTTTAACGTCCTACTTTTCTGCTCCTAACCTGGGCTAATGAAGACGGCAATCTGGTTAAAACACAGATCCTATTTCGTTTCGTTTTTATAGTTCAAAATTTCGTTTTACTTGTCTTTACTACACTTGAATCTGGAAGAGTTGTTATTTAACTCGTGTTCTGAATGGTGTCAGGGATAAGCCAATGAAACGGTCTGTTACGGCGAGCTTTAGGCGTGTTTTTCACGGAACTGTGGGTAATCCACCAGTAACATCAATGCTGATTGGTTAATCAAATATCTGACATCATAGAGTCATAAGTCGGTCTTTTGACCCCTGACGTGACCTATCGCTATAACTTGTCAGATCTTTATGTAGCGTAGGCCATCGAAAGTATAAAAAAACGAAACGAAATATAGATCTATATTTTAATCCGATTGTATTTGAATATAATGCTAGTATTTGATGAGATGTAATACCTCAGTCAGACCGGGGTGGCGTCCTTACTTCGCTGCTACGGCGACGGAAAATGGTTTTAGAGCGCGTTAAGATCGCCATAAGTGTGGTGGAAACACCAGATATCGTGCTGTGGTCACCATGGTCGCCAATGATCGCCGAGCCATATCGTTTGTATTGAGCATGTTCAAAACAAACACCAAGATTCTGCGATCTAAACTGGAAAGCTATGAGAACACGACATTTTTCAAGTTTTAATTTTTTGGGGACATTTTCTCTCGTTGTGTTCACGTTTGCCGGCGACCTTGTGTATTCTGTGGTCGCCGTACTGTCGCAGCAACGCAGTAAGGTCGCCATCCCGGTCTGACGGGGGCTTTAACTATTACGTTCTGGAAGGTATTTAATCTTCCCGAACTGCCTCGAGGAAACCCTGAACCAGCTACGAAAGACAAAAACTGAAGTTAAAGCAGTGGATTAAAAGTGATTCTGTCGGGTTGAAAATTTGAGGCGAAAATCGGGTGATGCCAAATCCAAATAAATATGGCTAGTACAGGTCATTAGGACATCCTACAGTTCACGCCATTTCAGTTCCCCGTCTCCATAAGCCCAATAGGACGTTAAACCCGATTTCATTCATTTCAGTTCATGTTAAAGTTGTCCATAGAGCCGTCAACATAAAGGGTCAATATCCGGAAGCTTACATTCATATCATGATATAGCCGAATGGAACCTGCTCTATGATGTTCCTCTGTGCATATGCCATACCCTTGCTCCACTATCCGCCGTGAACGAGAGAAAGCGACTCACATCCGACCAGTGAGATTTTTGCCATGACGCCATGTTCCAATAATGACGTGCTCGGCACCATGCTAGTCGTGCAGCCTTGTGGTCACGTGACAAGAGAGGTCGTATAAGGTCGTGTTTGATGTATTTGCACTGACACCTTCATGTTGGACAGAAAACTTCATAAATTCTCATTTCATTTACACTTATATTTATTTACGTAATAAATTTCTCTTGATCGCATAAACATTCGGGTGTTGCGATACTTTGTTTTCTCTGTGTATATTATCGCATGTCATTAATTTACTCCATTCACCCATTTATCTATTTCCCTTCCTGTCTTTGCTCAATTTTCTGTGCAAAATGCATGACTTTAAGTGGTGCTATTCTTGTGTGTGCGTTTTGCTTGTGTGTGTGTGACTGTGTTTTGCTTGTTTTGGGTGTTTCGCTTGTGTGTTTCGCTTGTGTGGCCGTGTGGGTGTCATAAGTGTGCTTACCCCTTTTCTGTCCGCGTATCTCCTGTATTTACTACTAATATATGTATATAATCATTAAAACCTCACCAATATTTTCAAAGTGTTGGTTTAACACGTATATATCAGAAACATTAAAATATTCATATCCAAAATTTGGAAACGGGTAAAAGATGACAACAGATCGTATAACAGAACGATGCTGGGCTGACATTATCGTAAATTGAACGGGCTAATTTTAGTAGCTTTGATTTAGGGGGTGGAATGGTTAGCGCGTGTGCGCTGTATCATAGGGACTGTCATTGAATCAACTGGCGTGGTTTCGATTACCCAGTTGTACGTGAAATGGAGTAGGGTCGCCTGTTTAACGTCGTAAGTTTTTTTCCGGGTCCTCCTGTTTCCTCCCACTGCTAAAGCGCAAACGAATTATTGAAATAAAATTGACCTAGTTTGTGTCGAGTAGACGTTAAATCCCATCTCTCCCCCCCCCCTCTCTCTCTCTCTCTCTGTATTGATTTAGTTTAACATGAAGTCTTCGATTGGGGTGATCGTGTGTGTGATTTCAACTACTGCTGGGAAGGGTTCTATGAGATTTAAATTATCGTTTAGTTCACTAATTGGGGTTTAGTTTACGTATAGATAACTATTTCTACACAGTCGATTATATCTCAGCATTGGCTGTATCTGTCGACGTAAACTTTGGAACAAAGCCAGATTGTCAGCCTAAAAAACAAGTCAACAAAGAAAATACAAAAGAAATTGACAACTTTATGTTACCTTAATCAAAGAAGGACATTTTAAGTATTTCAATTTACAATCTATTTTATGAGTTTGAGTTTTAAATGTTTGTTCAGTAAGTATTGCTTTCTAATTTTGAAAAACAGGAATCATTTCTATTGACAATTGGCCAGGGTCATCGCGGGTGTTTTTTTGTTAAACCAGATCGAATGACGAAGTTAACACCGGAAGTAAGAACAGGCTAAACCACTGATCTTATATATTTTTCGGGGCTCCATTCATCGGGATTTTCCAGCTTGATTGCTGCTTGCCAGTGGTGCAGGATCGGGGGTCAACCAAGGAACAGAAACTAACCGTTCGGAGTGCACTAGGAAACGGTTAAGATGTTCGCGCACTTTGAAATCGAAAATAAGTGGGTCGTTGAGCCGCTAAATCTCCCTCATAGCACAGATGCCCGTCTTTGTTATGTAGATTTAAGTAGAAAAGTAAAACTTTTACGCCCTATTTTTTTTATCTATTTTCCAGAATTAGAAAGCAATCTTTTAATTATTTATTTTTTATTTCTGTGTGTTGCATACGGCCTCGATTGTTGTTTGTTATAAATAATGTATAATGTCGTTTATTTTGACTGTGATAAAAATAATATATTAAAATGAATTTTGTGTTATTACAATTATTTCAAATGAGTGTTAGTTAGTTAACGTTATAATAATTTTTTTTCTTGTAAGACACTGAATTCCCTTGCCAGGACAATATCAGATAAACTGTCTAGTATTCTAGTCTCGACATCAACGTTCAGTATATTCCAATCTGATTAAAACAATTTCGTTTCGTTTTTATAGTTCAAAATTTCTATTTCACTTGTCTTTACTACAATTGGATCTGGAAGCGTTGTTATTTAACGCGTGTCCTGCTTGAAATGAGGGGTCAGCCAATCAAATGGTCTGTCGAATCGAGCGTTTGACCTTTTGTGCGCGGATCTGTGGGTAGACATTAGCGGCAATAGAAATCAAAACAAAGCATAGAACGTGAACTCCCACTATAACTTGTTAGATCTACGTGTAGTGTAGGCCATCGAAAGTATAAAAAACGAAACGAAATATAGATCTATATTTTAATTAGATTGAGTATATTCAGATTACAGATTAAAGACTCGATGTGTCATTTAGCGGGGGGGGGGGTGGCCGAATGGTTAGCACGTGCGTGCTGTATCATAATGCCTGTCATTGAGTCAACTGGCGTGGTTTCGAATCCCCGGTTGTTGTAGGGTCGCCTGTCCAACTTCGTGGGTTTTCTCCGGGTCCTCCCGTTTCCCCCCACTGCTAAAGACCCTCACGCGCAAGCAAATTATTGAAATACAATTAAACCATATGTTAGTCTCGAAATGACCTAGTTTGTGTCGAGTGGACGTCTCTCTCTCTCTCTCTCTCTCTCTCTCTCTCTCTATCCCGTGTCATTTACCGCTATAATATGAATCCTTGCAAACTACAATATTGTGGAAGTTTAATATCTAACAGGAATATCAGTCCAAAACTCATCCAATCTTTATTTACAATGTAATTTTTTGTATTTTCATCGATCTATGCTACTCGAGCGTAGCAAGACGCCGCCATTTTTTATTTGTAGTGGAGAAAGCTGGTGTAGTTTAAATCTGATTGAATCCAAGACAGGAGATTCTCTAGGTTTGGTATTTTGATTTTGTTTTCTTAATTAAATGTCCAATTATCAATATGAGTACATATTTAGTGTGTATTAACCTGTGAGAAATTCGATATTTTAGCGAAAATGCAAATGACGCATCGACCCTTTAAATTATATTCATACATTTTAGTATTTTACATGTAAACCAACTTTAGCCGCAGACAGACCGAGTTATCTTATTCAGATTTTTCAAGCTGACAGAATTAATTTAGCTTGCAAATCATTCCACGCCTGTCCTCTGTGGGATTTTTAATGACATACAAACAGTTAAGACAACTTGTCTACCGCTACAGTTAATGTATTTAAGCACATAATAAGATTGTTTTAGAATATAAGTACTTATAATGACATACAGTGACAGAGTCCACCCACGCCGGGACATCGTGTAGCTATATAAAATAATGTTTCGACCTGGGGGCTCAAATTTCCCCAGTTTGCAATTACAAATTTTTAGTGTAGTTTTGTATTTAAATGACAGTTATACATAAATCAACCTGTCAAGAAAATCCGACGTTGGAGTAGATTACAGGGGGGCAATCAACCATAAGATACAGAGTCAAGTGTTTGCTTTCATTGTGATTTAATCTCATTATTAAACTTAAAGCCCCTGGCCATTATTTTTGGGGGTTTTAAATCCCCTGTAAACTACAATATTGTGAAATTTCATTGACGATGAATAATTGACGATGTAAAAATAAGCCAGTGCCACCTATAAATGTTGGGTTACAGCTTTTGATAGCCCTCTTTTTAACCTGATTGAATTCAAGCAGGGGTAGTATCTACCGTTGGCGTTTTCTTAATTTTATTTGTTTCTTTAACATTTCAAAAATGTTAAATAATCAATTTGAGTATAAGTTAGTGTGAATTAAGCCGCGAAAAATTTGATGTTGTCCGAAAAATTTAAATATTGTGCAGCGGCTTAAAAATATTACGTGTATTTTTGTATATATAAATAATATATTGAATAAAGTTATACTGTTATTGTCGTTTATCATTGTCAGAGTTTTTATTACAGACAAGTCGGGGTTGTTGTGGGGGGGGGGCAGTAGTCTAACGCGTTCGCTTTAGATAGTAAGGTCTGTCATTGTGTCAAGTAGCGTGTTTTCGATCCTACGCCGAAAAATCCCTCCGGATTAGCGAGCCTATATGACTAGTGATGGGACAAGCTCATTAGTGATGGGACAATTTGTATAACATTAATGATGGGACATGTTGTATAAGATTAGTGATGGGACAAGCTCTATATGATTGGTGATGGGACAAGCTCTATATTATTAGTGATGGGGCCAGCTCTATATGATTAGTGATGGGACAAGCTCTATATTATTAGTGATGGGGCCAGCTCTATATGATTAGTGATGGGACAAGCTCTATATTATTAGTGATGGGACAAGCTCTATATTATTAGTGATAGGATAAGCTCTATATGATTAGTGATGGGGCCAGCTCTATAAGATTAATGATGGGACAAGCTCTATATTATTAGTGATGGGACAAGCTCTATAACATTAATGATGGGACAAGCTCTATAAGATTAATGATGGGATAAGCTCTATAGCATTAGTGATGGGACAAGCTGTATAAGATTAATGATGGGACATGTTGTATAACATTAGTGATGGGACAAGCTCTATATGATTAATAATGGGATAAGCTCTATAAGAAATAACCGGATCTGAATGAAGACGTCCGTACGCAATGCAGTGTACTATTCATCGAAGTGATACGCCATGTAGTGTGCCATGGGGATTATTTTATCCGATTGCGGCGCTATAGCCTACTCTTCGTAGGTCAATGGGAGGCCAGATTTGGAAAAAAATCGATCTTACTGAGTTACCGCCAAGCACACTGCGGCCCCCCCCCCCCCCCGCCCCCCCCCCCCCGCCCACCCCACACACACCCCACACACACACACTGGCGTGGTTTCGATTCCCCGGTTGTACGTGACAAGGAGTAGGATCGACTGTCCAACCTCGTGGGTTTTCTCCGGGTCCTCCGGTTCCCCCCAACAGCTAAAGACCCCTACGCGCAAGCGAAATATTGAAATAAAATTGAACCATATGTTAGTCCCGAAATGACCTAGTTTGTGTCGAGTGGACGTTAAACCCCCATTTCTATTTTTTTTAACTATTTTTTTAACTAAGAACAGTTAACTCTTTATCTAATCTAAAGAGGCATCATCACTCCCGCCACAAAGTATCTAAGAGTAAGGTAACTTTCATGGGTTAAACGCCTTGGTCCACTAAATTATTACGATTCGTAAATTTAAAGTTAAAATGTGCAGATCTCAGCTATGGTTTGTCAGACCTCTAAAGAAGTAATTCGTTATTCTGAAAAATAAAGTTGGTCCTAAAAGTCAGACCTTTTATTTAGTTCCCCTATGTCACAGAGATATTGTTCACAAAAAATAATCTCACTGAAACACAAAATGATTATGATCATCCCCCTGGGGATTGGATGGTCTGTCATTGTGTCAACTGGCATGGTTTCGATTCCCTGGTTGTACGTGACAATGAGTAGGATCGCCTGTCCAACCTCGCGGGTTTCCTCCCACTGCTAAATACCAATACGCGCAAGCGAATTATTGAAATAAAATTGAACCATATGTTCGTCCCGAAATGACCTAGTTTGTATCCATTGGACTTTAAACCGCACCTCTCTCTCTCTCTCTCTCTCTCTCTCTCTCCACGCTATGTGTTAGCTATGTTTTGCAATGCAGATTATCCTTAATTTAGTAAATTGTCCCTCTAAATTTTTTCTCCGTACAATGGAAATTAAATATACTATATTATGTGTTAATTTCTGAAAATATAACAAGTACCACGTGTTAGTCTTCATTTCGTGGTTAAGGGTTGCGCAGAAAAATCAGGACTTAAAACCCAACTTCATTTCATTTCGATGCGCTGTTGTATCAACCCAAGATTGACGGTAAACAGCAGATTTGCCACGGACAACTGTTAAAGGGAGACAACTACAACTCCAACCTTTACTTTCTGTAAACAAGAATGACGTTGAGCTAGGAAATTTAACCAACTTAGTGTGGGGCATGTTGGAATGAAAATGTATTTACACCAATATGCACGTAAAAGATCCTATGTCAGTTGGAAATACATGTAGATGACTCAGCTGCCTGGGCAATTTTCTCCTCGCTAGCACTGTACATGTGGCCACTTACAAAAAAAACTAATCCCGTGTTAACCTTAAAATGACCCAATTCGTGTTGAGTTTGCGTGACGCTTAAATTCACAGCGTCCATTTCCTGTTTTGTTCTGCAGTTATTCTGGTGCGGAAAAGTAAGGCATTAAACTCCATTTCATTTAATATCTCTTATTTCGTAATATGTCACAAGGTGTTAGGACTATAGAAAACTATCCACTTTCAAGGGCTGACAAGAATAATGATGCTTAGACGTACGGATGGTACGAAAAAACCAGGGTCGTCCCCGTGTACACGTTGGTATGCACGTAAGAGAGAGAGAGAGAGCAATGGGGTTTAACGTCCACTCGACCCAAACTAGGTCATTTCGCAGGGCCGTAACTAGCTCAGAGCAACAAGGGGACGAGAAGTGTTCACAGGAGTGCTGTAAAATTGACGGACAATGTATATCTATTTTTTATGGTCGACAATTTTTTCACAAGGGGGGGGCGAAACATTTTGCAGGGGGCGGGGGGGGGGGCTCCCTTAGTTACAGGCCTGTCATTTCGGGACTAACATATGGTTCAATTTTATTTTAATAATTCGCTTGCGCGCATGGGGGTCTTTTAGCAGTATGGGGAAACCGGAGAGCCCGGAGAAAACCTACGAAATTGGGCCGAAGTACTGTGTTGATGAGACGCGCTACTTTTGTCTTCCACTACTAACCCTAACCCTAAGTAGCCGGATCAACGTACTGCGCCTGAGACGCTAAACCTCATTGAATTTATTTCCTGTTTTGTTCTACAGTTATTCTGCATTGTATAACAATTATATCCGTATTGCTGTAAACCGGACAATGATAACGATCAGTAACAGAGATGGTGTTAGCTTTTAAATTACAAGTTAAACCGATGGACGACGGGTGAATACAGGAATATAATAATATACATCATTAAATTCCCTGAGAATAATTTGCAGACGACAAATTATTGATTTATTCCTGTGACGTCTGCTCGAGTACAGGTAAGCCAATCAATAACCGTTTTATATAATGTCATGGATATTATATACAATATATATTATATACAGTCCACTTGCTATTTTATGGCTTAGGTAGCAATGTTTCTTCTCCGAGAAATTTTTATACGAACTTAACCAAATACAATAAGTAGCTCTACGTCATGAAGGTATGTACGCTCAGGTGTGTGACATGAACGAAAGAAAATGGCTGACAGTCAAAACCTACATGACTGTGGTGAAATTTTAAACTGATCTACAGACTAACAGGTAAATAGAACTCCACTATTTCTCTGCATAATAGGCAGGGCAGATGTATACGCATGGCTGTGTACTGAGATGTTTTGTTGTCTATCGGAATTCGCCGATGGCTCGTGTACTTCGATAAATTATTGGTTCAGGCAGTACATTGCCATTGACAGTAGTGTAGCCACTACATATGTGGAGCATGACTGGATGATATCCAAACGATGTATTACAAATAAATGTCAAATACCAATGATATACGCTAGTGTACCACAAAGCATAGTTAAGTGATTAAAATATAGACATATTTCGGTCATTAACATTGGATAATCTCTCCTTGACAAGAACTCGGTCAGGCCTAAATTTGTTAGCTTATTTTAAAATGTCACCCTGAGCGTTTTGTACCTTTGTAAATAATTCATTATATTCACGAAACACTGGCCTGTCTGTTTAGGCTTGACCTTTAGTTTTTTTTCTATGCTAATATATTGTCTGATTGTGGTATGTTTGTTCTTACTAGAACACCCCATAACATTTATTCACAATTAACAGGTTCTGAAATATATGAACTGAAACATAGTTAGTCACACATAGCATATTCATGTACGCTAATTGTTGGTCTTTTTTTCTATTTTAAAGATAAGCTGTTTTCCATATATTATTCATAATGTAGACTAGATATTCACCTAACATATAATAGACATAATATGCTATTTATATATAGTTACAATGTATGCCGTTTTTATGGTGTCATTCTAAAGTTAAACTTCCTTTGTTTTACTATGAATTATATTATAATAGATATTAAAGTCCCATGTGGTGTTTTCCTATGAATAATATTATAATAAATGTCCAAGTCCAAGTAAGGTCGTAATAGATGTTAAACTCCCAGTAAGGTCGTAATAGATGTAAGGTCGTAATAAATGTTAAACTCCCAGTAAGGTCGTAATAGATGTAAGGTCGTAATAGATGTTAAACTCCCAGTAAGGTCGTAATAGATGTAAGGTCGTAATAAATGTTAAACTCCCAGTAAGGTCGTAATAGATGTTAAACTCCCAGTAAGGTCGTAATAGATGTAAGGTAGTAATAGATGTTAAACTCTTGGTAAGGTCGTAATAGATGTAAGGTCGTAATAGATAGTTTAACTCCCAGTAAGGTCTAATAGATGTAAGGTTGTAATAGATGTTAAACTCCCAGTAAGGTCGTAATAGATGTTAAACTCCCAGTAAGGTCGTAATAGATGTAAGGTCGTAATAGATGTTAAACTCTTGGTAAGGTCGTAATAGATGTAAGGTTGTAATAGATGTTAAACTCTTGGTAAGGTCGTAATAGATGTTAAACTCCCAGTAAAGTTGTATAGTGTCTTCATTGTTTTTTTCATGTTATAGACGTATACATATTCTAATGAAGAGCGATATATGCAAAAGTTTTACTTATTAGTAATCCGACAGAATTAAACATACATTACGCAAGAGCTAAATCTGCCAATTGCAGGTCTTTCTTTACAGGGGCGGATCCCGGATTTTCAGCAGAGAGGGTCCAGAATTATCAGATCTCCATATTAAAGTGGTGTAGCGCAGTAACTATTCGT